CATTTTGGGGCCTGAATTAAATTTTTCGTTCAAATGGTCCATCAACTCTATATTAATTACTCAAATGGTCCCACCGTTACATTCTGTCAATGTTGCTGTTAAATATGAGGGCAAATTGGTCATTTCGTACGTTAAAAATAAATAAATACTGAAAAATCAAATAAAAACTCTCTCTCTCTCTCTTTCTTCCCCCATGGCCACCACCCTCAGGCTCCAACCCCCAAACCCATCCCACAACCACTCTCCACCCAAACCCATCCAACAACCACCCTCCCCCCCAGGCCCCATGAACCCAGAACCCCAGCTCCTCCCTACCATCCACCCGAGCCAGCAACTACAAAAAAAGAAAAGAAAAAAATCTTCCACAGACCCCCTCCCAACGAACCCCGAACCCCAACTCAATAACCTCCCAAACCCTCTCCCCCTCCCCCTTGATTTCCCTTTGTTGTTGAGAGACAACCATCCACCACCCTCCTCCCCACCTCATCACCCGCCAACCCCACCTCCCAAAATCACAGCCACTGTCAATTTATCACCCTCCAAGCGCACTCTCCTCTCCTCCCACCTCACCTCCTCATCTCCCAAACCATCCAAACTACCCAAACTCTTTCCCCACACCCACAACCCTATACCCACCGCACCCATCTCTCCCTCCACCAAAAGTTCCTCCAGAAGCTTTTAGAACCATCATCTGATGTTCCAGAACCTTCTCCTTCTTCCAACCCACCTGCCAAGTTCACACCTTTGGAGAAGCAAGTGGTGGACCTCAAGAAAAGGTACACATATGTCCTTTTGATGGTGGAAGTTGGTTACAAGTACCGTTTCTTCGGCCAAAACGCCGAAATTGCTGCGAGGGTTTTGGGGATTTATGCCCATATGGAGAGGTATGTAGGGAATGGGGGAGAAGAAATCGAAGGAAGGGGGTTTGGGTCTCATGATTTTTTTTTCTTCTAATTTTGTATTTATTTTAATAGAAATTTAGTGAAATACCCATTCCTAGACATAAAACTATAAATATACCCTATACCATTCATTATATATAAACACACCCAAAATAAACCCAAAAATCAACAATTGTATATTTTTTAATTTAATTAATAAGATCAAATACCTTTATTACCCTTTTAAGCATTAAATTAGTTTTGGATCTCGTTTAGAATCTATAGAATGCAGAGAACATTAAAATTCAACAAAACCACTCCCTGAGGTCTGAAGCCTCAAGCCCCTCTCCTCCTTCAAACCCACATCTCTCCTCTGTTCTCTCCCTTCTTCCCTTTCTCTGCCTTCAAAGTAAACCAAAAAGTCTCAGAGCCAGGGACCAACACAAGACCGACGACAATCTCCGTTACATCGGTGGCCTCACACGTGTTCTCGCCGCCGATGCCTCCATTTCTTTTGCAGGTTTGTTCCATCTGCTTCAATTCGTTATTTTCCTTTTGATTTTTGCTTAATTTACTAGAATTTTGACTTGATTTCAGTTTCTTCGTTGAATTTGGTGCTAATTTCCATTTTTTCGATATGAACAGAGCTAATGGTTAAGCTCGCAGAGTTCTATGGCTACTCTGTAGATTTGAGGTGTCAATTGCCGGATGAAGGCTTTCAGAACGCCGACGCCGGTGGTGATTGCAAGAAGAACGAAGATGAAGACGATTTCTCGTTCACCTGCACCAATCCCGACGGATCGCCAATTTCCACCGACGATATATTCCAAAATGGCCAGATCCGTCCAATGTTCCCGATTTTCAACCAGGATTTCCTATTCGCCGATGCCGACTACGACGATACTTCCAGAGCCAGAGGTGTTGCCGCTTCGTCTTCCTCTCTACGGTCGCCATTGAAGGAGCTCTTTTTTGAAGAGCTGGATATGCCGACCTTGGCAACGTCGTTTTACAACTCAGGAGGTGAACTCGGGTCCTGATCCATGAGATCAACGCATCTGATGTACGTATTTTCACAGTTTATTCTTATGATGATTTCTCATTTCAGTATTTTCTAGTGTTTATTGTATGAATCGTTGTGTTTTTTATTTGTGTTTGGCTTATGAACATTTTAAATTCAACGACTTAGTTTGTATGGTGATTTCATGTTTGATTAATTAAGTTGTTGATTAGATTTTCGTTTTTAATTTTTTCAGTCTTGGAGTTTAAATTTGACATGCAGATACTATTCTTCTTGATTTTATCTGTTTATTTTTGTTATTGCTGAATTGGATGTAATTTATTGGATTTTCTGATTTCGTTCTAATTTGTACTCAGATATTCGTTTGAGTTTTAAATTGTGATTTTAATTTCTTTTTGGTTATAATTTGGATTGATTTCAGATTCTGTTTGGTTGTGGATTTGCTGTTTGAGATGTGGTTAGAAATTTGTGATATTCGATTTGGTTTTCATATTAATTGAGGTATGCTTTTTCAGTTGAATTTGAGTATATTCGTGTTTTTTCTGTTTGTCACTGTAAAGTTCCAGTATATGGTAATAACACTGCTTGTTTGCTATGAAATCCTATTTCTAATGCATGTCTACCACTGTAAAGTTTCAGTATAGGGTAATAGCACTGCTTGATTGCTATGAAATCATATTTCTAATGCACGTCTACCACTGTTAAGTTCCAGTCTAGGGTAATAACACTGCTTATTTGCTATGAAATCGTATTTGTAATGCACGTCTACCACTGTTAAGTTCTAGTCTAGGGTAATAACACTGCTTGGTTGCTATGAAATCCTATTTCTAATGCATGTCTACCACTGTAAAGTTCCAGTATAGAGTAATAACACTGCTTGTTTGCTATGAAATCGTATTTGTAATGCACGTCTACCACTGTTAAGTTCTAGTCTAGGGTAATAACATTGCTTGTTTGCTATGAAATCCTATTTCTAATGCACCTCTACCACTGTTAAGTTCCAGTCTAGGGTAATAACATTGCTTGTTTGCTATGAAATCATATTTGTAATGCACGTCTTGTAGGAATTTCAAAACATTTTTCCAAAGTTCATTTGAATATTAAACATGCATTTAATCAAATTAATCGCAGCGGAAGTCTAAGGTGG